TCATTATAGCACCGGTCACTCGGTCACATATCCGTTGGCCTGCGTGTTTGTTAGTGTGCCGTGGTAATCAGCTGTGTTTGTTATCGCCGTATTTCGACTTTCAGCCCGTTGTCTCTTGTCTGCCATCCATCTCATGAAAGCGCTTGACGTTGTGCCGCCCTTCAACGTCTAGTGCAGTGGCCGCTGCAACGTATCCGCGAGGTATCGTCGTTCTGGTTGGTCTGGTGACATTTAACATGGTTATGGTTTACGAGCTTGTGGGCCGGTAATTCGTCCTGTGCGTAAAATGCMGTCCGTGTGTCCTCAAGTCGTCACCCATCAATGATGGATGGCATSGCTACCCCATTGTAAACCTGAAGTGGAAAAGTAATTGAGGAGTTCCCTGACAACGATAAATCATAAAAAACTGTTGTTAAAAATGAAATCAAGGATGAAATTAAATACATTTATAAGCCATGAAAAGTCAAGTATTTTGRTTAAGCTTTAGACAAAATAAAATAATAAGCTGAAGAAAGTTTTAAATAAATTTCATTACCTATAGGTAGTATGAACCACCGTTAATTATATTAACGTCCAAGGTGGTTGCGACACTGTGATTGGACTAAGTGATCGCACCCGACGTAAATACAAAATACTATAAATATTGAATGCGGCAATATCGTACCGGAAGTAGCGTCCATGTTCGTTTTCAAATGTAGGTACCTACGTCGCAACCGTCGCGACGTCCAGTCCGCTTATGAATACTGACTTGATGCTTTTCTTGAGATCGTGTAGGTAACCCAGTGGTCCTCAACCTGTATTTGTTTCATGTCACCCTTAGGTTTTAGCTGCTAGTATCTAACATCCAACATTTCAACAATGTGTCAGTTGTATCCCCTAAACATCAAAATATCAAACAATTTAAGCTGTAAACTTTAAAAGAAAAAAATGAGTGACTTTCAATTTTATTAAAAAAAATAAAGAACATAGACGCGTAAAAAAATAATAATTGTCATTTTATTTGAGTTTAGACTCATAGTGTTCAACAAATATAGACACATTAAATCGTCAAATTTATTTAAAAAATATAGGTAAGAATATTTAAAATTTTTAATGAATTTTATAGTTTTATGTTAATAATATCATTATATTATCATTGTACTGTTCCGACCTCGGTGGTGATAATACGATTCTTTGTGCCTTGACCAATTGAACGGCTAAGTAGAAAAAGGATAATATTCCAAAAATATACTGAGATAGCTGTTTTGTAGTTGAATGTAGAATTTATTCGTTTTGTTCATATAGGTAGTGCCTTGACCAATTCGTATTGTTCATATAGTGCCACTTTTTCAACTATACAGTCTACAATCGCAAATACCATTTTTGACAGCAATATTCATGGAGGAAGTGCTTAATAACTAGCCCAAATAGGGCTAGTTGTACCGTCTCTGATTAAAGTTAACCGGAGTTTAATCGGCCACATTTGCACGGTTAAATATCTGTTATCAGCTGATTAAGCATAATCGAAGTTTAACCGTAGACGGTACAACTATGTATATTATGTATATTATATTATGAGAGCTATAGGTATGAGATTTATAGGTAATTAAAAAATATTTTATCATATCTAAATTTCTGGAGAAATTAAAATCAAAAAATTTAAATTTAGGTATATCGACCTCAAGTAGACTTGAAAAAAAATCAAAATCTGCTTTCAGTAATCTTATCAATTCACTATATAAATCAGTACGTTTATCAATAAGACCACGGCTAAAATAGTAAAATCCTATATCATGCGTGTGTTGGACAAAGACAGAAATCACAGTAACAAATCCTCTATATACACTGAATATAATTTGTAATTAGCTAGATACAGTTACACTAACACACCTGCTATGAAATACAGCAACATAAAACTTGGCAACAAAATATAAATACTTAACAAAATTTTAACATGTAAAAATGAAAAACCAACAAACTGAGAAACACAAAATTACTCGTCAAGAAATTAAACTATCCTCCCGGCACAAAAAGAAAAGAGGAAGTAACCGTCATTCGAACCAAAATAGGCCACTCTTACTTAACCCATGTACATCTCATCAAAAAAGAATCAGCACCCATATGTGATGCTTGCAACGTAACTCTATATCAATTGAACATATCGTAATCACCTGCCCCAAATACACTGAAGCTCGCGCAAGATACTCCAAAATCCTGCATCACTCTATCAAGCCTTCAAAGACAGCTGCAATCAGTACATTTTTCCATAATATAAACACTAAATACCCATTGTAAACAATAAATAACTATTATAATAATGTAGTAAAATGTTTTCTAAAATTTAATATACCTATTACCTACACATATATATATTTTCGTTTCTTTTTCTTGTATACATTTTGATTAAAGTAGGCTAAAAACCTGTGTTGTTTAAGCCTTAATAAACTATTTAAAAAAAAAAAAAAGCGGGAAAGTGGATGTCGCTCTGCTGTACAGTAGGTTACAAGTGGGGGACTGTAATGGATGGAATTAAATTTGAATCCAATGATATTATATCTCATTGTGTACGACAAACGATTCTGAGCGAAGACGGTTTATCTGTCTAGGATATATTATAGATTATTAATAATTTTCAAATCTTAGATTTAAAATACATTTTTTTTATGAATTTCTAGCTTAAAATAATTTGCGAATTTTCTTGATGTTTACGTATGTTGTCAAAATTAAAATTTGAATGATTGTGAAAAAAAATTGTGCCTGAAAATAATTATTCTAGGATATTTTAGAATTAATATTTCCACACTTATTTATTTAGGTGATATTTAGACATGATACATAAATAAGTATGTTGTGTATTTTGTCACATGTAATGAATTGATGATTGGAATTTATTAATAATTAATAACACATTTAATTCTTATTTAAGTTGTAAGTTTATTTAGTTATTAGGCAGTTATTTTAACGTATAAATTGCTCAAATTGTTGTCCGCCGTGAAAATAACATGATTCAGCTCGCCGCATAAATTCTTTACTTGTTGCAGCTGTAATTTGTTCTTCAGTCAGTTGATTGCATGCTGCTGTTATTTTATCTTTTAAATTTCGAAGATTTATAGGAGGGTCTGCATACACTATTGTTTTTAAGTGACCCAATAAAAAAAAATCTAGTGGTGTAAGATCAGGTGAACGTGATGGAGGCCACTGAATGGGTCCGTAAGTTCCTAGCCATCGATTTTGAAACTTTGCATTTAAATAGTCGCGAATTATTAGAGAATTGTGAGCTGGAGCACCGTCATGTTGAAAAATAATATTTTCTCTTAGAGCTAAAGGAATATCATCCAGCATCATCGGTAATTCATTTAATAAAAAATTATAATATCGTCTACCATTAAGTGTTCCATCATAAAAAAATGGACCGAGCAATTTATTTCCAATTAAACCTCACCAAACGTTTGTTCCCCAAACAGTTTGATTATTGGTTTCAAATGTCCAATGTGGATTTTGATCGTCCCAATAACGGTTATTTTGTTTATTTATAACACCATTATTTGTAAATTTAGATTCATCTGTCCATCGTATTGAATTTAAAATTAATGGATTTTCGTCTAAACTTGCMATAATGCCATGAACCACACAACAAAAGAAAGTCTACGATCTGCATCACCCTGACGCAAATGCTGAACTAAATCAGGTCGATATGGGTGCATTTTGTATTTTTTTTAAATCTTACAAACTGCAGTATGCGATATTCCAAGCTCTTTGCCGACGTGCCGTGTAGAAACTCTGKGATTTACTCTAACATAGGCTAATATTTGTTCTTCGATCTCCTCGCCTAAAGCATCACCTCGTCTTTGTTGTTGGTTGTTTACCCTCTTAGAAAATGACCCATGGGTTCTAAGATTAGTTTCTAAGTTATGAAAAAAACTATGGGCAGGGTGTTCTCTATCTGAAGTTATCAATACAAACAACAAAACTAACTTAGAAAATTGTCTAAATAAAATTAGTAAGCATACCTGGATAACGCTGAGCATAAATTTGTGCTGCACGACGGGAATTTTTTTGACACTCCCAAATTGGGGAGTCCCAATAAACAAATAACATATCGACTTTTCCTGAATGATTCATATTTGTCACGGAGTAACGTATGAAGTACGTATGTAATAAACGATGAAAAATATCGAAATGTTCAGTAATATCATTAATTTTGGTAGAATTGTCATACAGTTTAATTTTTACAGTATTAACTATTAGATAAGGACATAAGGTTTCTATTCCAACTTAAAATAGCATAGGTTATTATTTATTAATTTAGATAATTCTAATAGGTTCTTTTCTAACGAAATAAATAACATACTTATTTAGTTGTTTACGTTTGTTCTGCTATAAGTTTTTCATAGTTCACAACTTAAAGTGAAAATTAAAATACCTAACGTTTAAATATCGTCTAAATAAATAAGAGTGAAAATGTAAATCCTAAAAAATTTTAGAATAATTATTTTAACTATTTTCAGAGTTACAGTAAAAAAAAAACTGAAAATTGCACGCATTTTGCAGTATTTTTGTTGTTTGGCTGTAACTTGGTCAATTTTGGACTTAGGAAGTTGGTTCAACTACCAAAATTCATTTAAAAATTAGGCAAAAAAATATCAGTGGTTAAAATAGGTGGTTGTCATTTAAGAAAAAAAAGTTTTATTGAGCATGCGCAAGTCTAATTAAGTTTAAAAAGTTCATAGGCCATTAAAATGTGTATTTTTATGTCATAACAACCAATTAGAAAACAGGATTCAAATTGCAGGACCCTACTCAAAGATATTGAGTGTTCTCAATATTTATAGATATGTATTTTATTATAAAGAGGAAGTTTGGATTTTAGCATAGGCGTGATATACCATAATAATTTCCTTTTAGCTTTCAAACAAGGATCCCAGGTTTATCTTTTATCAAAAATATAACCAAAATATTAAACTTGAGTTATGGAAGGGATAGGAACTATTTGGAAAAAGACAGTTAAAAATTTATAAAATATCAATAAATGGTTTATTATAAATCACACAAAATTATGCATTTCTTACTATATATGATACATTTTGTGTATAATCTATACATAAACAATGGAGTCACATATACTCATTAATTATAAAATTTGGTTACTAATTCCTTATCAACGATTACTCCACCAACAATTTCACCCATACTTTTTGACATTTCTTCAATGGACCAAGTATTGGTGTTGGGGTTGTAAATTTCTATAGATTCTATCTGAACCTCACCATTTTTTCCACCCACAACATACAACAAACCATCTAATGCAAATACACCTAGATGAAAAATGCATTTTAATTTAATACAATTTTATAAAGATATAATTCAATATAGTTTTGATTTTAATTACTAGAACCGCATCGGCTAAAATGCATATCAGCAATAGAAGTCCAAATTCCAGAACTTGGTTTATATACTTCTACACTTTTAAGACATTCTTCATCTTCATTTTCACCACCAACAGCATATATTACACCATCCATTACTCCTACACTGGGATCAAAACGACTTGTTGACATTTCCGCAAGCTGTGTCCATGTGTCAAGTCTGGGATCATAACATTCGACAGATTTCAATATTAAAGAATTATCATCATCATAACTACTCCCTCCTACCTACATAAATGAATAATATACAATTTATTACACATTTATTATTAATATAAATAATAAATATTTATTTACCACATATAAAAGATTATTGAGAACTCCAAAACCAAAATAACTTCTCTTAGTGAACATTCTAGACGACATCATTCGCCATTCTTGAATACTCATATCAAAAACCTCCACACTGCTCAAAATAAATCCGTTAATACTGCTTCCGCCAACCTAACATTTTACATCATAATATATATTTAAATTTTAAAATATAGAATAAGTTTATCACAATATGAAAAACTTACTACATATAAAAAATCATCAAATATAGCTAATCCGAATGACTCTCTAAAAACTAATGTTTCAACCATAGATATCCAACTTGGTGGTTTTATAGATAAATCAAGAATTTTTAGAAATGACTTAGATTTTCCAGTACCCATAACAACAACATAATGCTCTTTGAATAAGGTCAGCTTTTCTACAATTTCTTTACCACTTTTCAATCTGATTTCTGGTAAAAACTGCCATAAGTTAGTTGTTGGATCATACGAGTGGATTTTCAAAGCATTACTGAATACTAGAATAACCTGATAATATTAAGCTAATTAATTATATTGCTAAGTTAAAATAATCAAATCAGAATAGGTAATACTTTTTGTCCAGACTTTCTAGGTGTATTTCGAATAGTTTGTGGAATAGTGCTTAATTGTTTTGTTTTAAGCACATGCAATTGAAAAGCTTCAATTATAAAATCTTTACCTAAAAATATTTTAATTATATATTATTAAAATTATAATAAATTCATATTTATAAAATAACCTACACAAATGACTACTTTTAAGAAGTTCCTCAACTACATTAATTGATATGTAATTTATGTTCAACAGTGGCAAACGTACATGTTCCATTAATTTAGGCAAACTATCATATCTATCATCTAATTTATGGTATACCCAATTAATAACACATTCATATACCTAAAACAAACAAATTAGATTAAATATAGTGTTCAATATCAATAGCTCAATGTTTATTTACAAAAATTACACGTGTTTATTATATTAACTAAAAAAATTTTAGATGAAAGTTGAATTTTATAAGTTATTAACTATACTCTGCTCTAAAAATGAATAAACTAGGCAGTGACCAGCTTTTATACCAATAATAGCATGTAACCAAACTCTTGTTGGATGAGTATTAAATTACATGACGAATAAAGGTTATTTGATTTTTTTCAATTGTGCAATTTTTATTATTTAATATTGATTAGGGTGTTCATCTATTTTCGACATGTTACAACAACCAACACATTTTTTTTTTTGTAAAATGTGAAATAAAATTTTTTTTCAATGAAGCCAATCCTGAATAGATTATATATATATATATATATATATGTGAGTAAATAAATGTATTCCTCATTCAGTATAATAAACTATTAAAAACAACCATACTATTATGAACTTAGGTGTATTAAAAGAAAAKAAAAAGCAGGAAAGTGGAATAGTGGATATCTCTCTGTTGTTCAGTAGGTTACAAGTGGGTTACCGTAATGGATGAAATTAAATTTATTATGATATTGATATCACATGATATCCAATGATATTACATCTTTGTATATGAAAAACGATTCTGAGCGGAGACGGTTTTCAGTATGGTTAAGATAACTTTAAATGCTTATGAAAAAAAATTGTGCCTATGTATTTTAAATGTTTTTTAACTGCTACTGTAACAATATGTTAGGAGCCTTGTATTACATTTTCAAGCTTTTCTACCCAACAAATAAATTTGTATCAATATTTATAAAAAAAAAACTAAAAAAAGTTGAAAAATTAAAATGTCAGTAAACAGCTCAAAACAAATCTAAATATTTTGAAAATCTTATCAAATATAGAAAATGCCTATATAAACATTCAGTGAAAATTTTCAAGTATCTGCGATCATTTGTTTTAGAGTTACACCAAAATAAGAAAATCGCTAAACGAGAAATCTAGAGAAAATCCAATGTTTAAAAATTTAAATTTCAACTGCTCATAAAAACTTAATTTGACTTTCTTGTGGATATTTATTGTATGATAAAGGTTGACAAACTTGTAAGAAATCTTGTATTAAAATCAAAGCTTTGAAAAGAAATATTTTTTTATGAATTTCTAGCTTAAAATAATTAGCAAATTTTTGTGATTTTTACGTTTTTTTGTCAAAATTCAAACTTTGAATGCTTATAAAAATAAAAACCGGTCAAGTACGAGTTGGACTCGCGCACCGAGGGTTCCGTACAAACCTGTAGGTATATAAGTAAAAGTTCACCAATCACGACAATCAAGTCATAGTTATGGTATTTTTATTGCAAAATGAAATTTATAACATCAAAATATGGAARGCTRGAGGATCATAAATACRCGTTCATGAGGAAAAGGATTAGAAGTTTAAAATTATTTGAAAAAAAAAAAATATGTGATCTAACTAAAAATTTAAGGTTTTCGGAATTTTTCTGTTATATGTGCGATAAAACATTGCTTCATGCCGAATTTCGAGATTCTAAATCGACTTGAAGTACCCTATAGGTTTTGATTCCCTCGCAAGTARTCGYGRGTTTGAAAATATGCGGYTTAAATTGTTATTATTTCTTTCGATTGCGTTAACATAAAAGTTTGATTTTGTTACAGTTTAAAGGTATTATAGACTTAAGTATTTAATATGAATTTTAATTTAATACCTCAACGCGTTCATGAGATAAGGAGTAATAACTTTGAAATTTTCAAAATTGTCAAAAATATTTTTCAAAAATATTTTTTTTTTTTATATGATGAAACTAAAAATTTACGGTTTTCGTAATTTTTCCTATATCTGTACTAAAAGACGTGACTTCGTACTAAATTTCTAGATTCTAAGTTCACGGGAAGTACCCTGTAGGTTTTGATTGTCGTGTGAGTTTCGAAAATTTGAGGAAATTTGCGGCCTAAATGGCTGTATCTTTTTATTACGTTGGCTTAGAAGGTTGATTTTTCTACAGCTTCCAGGGACAGTAGACCTGAGTATCATATAGAAATTTCAGTTTGATACCTCCACGCGTTCCTGAGAAAAACGGTCTTGACAGACGGACAACAAAGTGATCCTATAAGGGTTCAGTTTTTTAATAAGTAATAACATTGTATACCTAATGATAAAATTTCATATTTTTCTTCTAACCATGACCACCCACCCACCCATATTTAAGGTGTTGCCTGAACAACACTTGAACCTTTACACACCACTGGTTTACATACTTTTTCTTCAGATGGGACGTTAAGCACATCACTAGAAATCAGCTTAATCACTTCTTCAGTAGACAAAGATAGAAATTCATCACCTTTAACCACATCTCTGAAATTAATAATAATTCATCTTTTTATTTTATACAATTTAGTGACAAAACTATAATTTTTATTTTATTTATCATACAGAAACTTTTTTCTAATGTATGCTTCAGAACTTGTTGTTAATTCCAAACAGTTATGTAAGTCGGCGAATGCCCTAATACCAAGACAATTTGAAGGATCCAGTTGTGTTAGTAAAAACTTAACACATGCATCTTTTACATAGTCTAACTGTAAGAGATTTGCAGCCGGTAACAAATCCTTGAAAATCAACAATCATAGATTTATTAAATAATTTTGATGAATGTCCAAAACATATTTAATATTTATTTATACCTGTACATTTTCTTTGCTGATCATGATCTTCCCAGTATAAATAAAATCTATCATTAGTTTCAAAACCGTAGAATTTAATTCGTTTATATTAACAAGATTTTTTTGGCTTTCATTAAAATTTGTAAACATAGCMCGAAAATATTGACTAGCGGACATTAATACAACTTTATGTCCAAATACTATTGTACCATCATCTGTTTTTAATCCAATATCACAAAAAACTTCATCTCTAAAACAAATATTTAATATTAACATTCATTCTACTACCATTTTATGTCCACAAGCCACAACATACTGGCGTAAAGATTGTAGGGCTTCAAATACATTAACAATGTGAGAGAAATATGAATAGTTTATTGGTGATTCACATTCACTTGATCCCATAATATCCATTTGTTCACTTCCATAATATGATGAACTGTGTATGGAATCCATCTATTTTATGGACATAAAACCATTTAAAAATATGATAAAATTAGAGCATTTATAATTTATGTATGTATATAAATATTTAATGAAAATACTAAATATAAGAGAGGAGTTAAGACGAGTAAAATAATTCCTGTAAATTAAGCTAAAATAAGTAAAAAATGTTACACCTTTATAAAAGTTATTTTGTATCATAATCATAACAAAAAATAATGTCACAATCACAATATTATTTGGATAATACCAAGTGAATTAGTTCCATAGTACCTAATATATTATATAAGTTAACTAAATTAAATTTTAAAGGTTTCCGTACAGAGCAATGGGAAGATTGTGTTTGCACTTACTTAAAAAAACTCAATTGCGCTTAATAAAATAAAAAAATGTTAAAATACTTGTTCTCACCAAGTAACATTAAAAACTAACACACACATTTGGTAACATTGCAGTAAACCATAAATTTGTATTTTTTCATACTTTGAACTATCTAAGAATAAAAAGTGGACAAAAGTGGGTGTTGTAAGTATGTGCGGATGAAGTGAAACATCTTTACCGAGAGAATGAGACACAAGCACGCTTCTTGATATTATAGAAAATATATTAATCATGAATATTGGGTTTTTATTAATAAATTAACATAACAATAAAAAAATTATTTCTCATTATTATAATACAAATATTTATATTATTATTTATTACCATAACTGGTGACTAGTAACAGACTCGACGGCCAATATTTTATTTTTATTTTTTTAGATACTGAGCGGAGCGATGGATTTATAAATTTAACAATGATGTGTGTTTTTATATTTATTTCTTATTTTTTTTTTAATGTCCAACTGTGTGTACACAATAAGTTGTCAAAATAATGCTTCGACTTTCAACTTCAATAGCTTATCTGGTTGAAAAATGTATCTAGTAGGAGAAGTTTTCAAAAGTGCCGGGAAAACAAAAAAATCAAGGAAAAGATGGAATTTTTACTCAAAATCAGTTTTTGAGAAAATCGATTTAAGATATTGGTGCAACTCTAAAAAAATTACCATAAATACATGAAATTTTCACTGATTGTTTATATTGGCATTTTCAATACTTAATACATAAATGTTCAAAATATTTCAAATAATTTTAGGTTATTAATAGACATTGGAAATTTTCAATTTTTTTMGTTTATTTTCTATAAATGTCAATAAAATTTTATTTGTTGAGTATAGTTTCAAAATTTAATATAAACTAGGTTTCAAAAAAAAGAGAAATTCGTGTTGTTGCTAAACTATTTTAAATTAGTCTATTATTTCAAAACTAATAATTTCCAACACTTTATTTTTGCACTATTGTTTTAAATTTGTTAAAACACAAAGGTTTCCAAAAAAAAAAATTTAAAAATGTGTGTGGCCACTAAACTAGATTTGCTCCAAAAATTCAATACAAGATTTTTCATGTTTGTCTACTTTTATCTAATAAAAAATGTCTACCAGAAAGTCAAATTACATTTTTATGAGCATTCAGCATTTGAATTTTAAATTTTTACTACATTGGATATTCACTCAATTTCTCTTGTACAATATTCTTATTTTGTAATTATTCAAAAACGAATAATTGTAGAAACTTGAAATTTACATAATATGTTCATTTTATAATTTCTTTTACTTGATAATGTTTTTAAAATATTTCAACTTTTTTTAAAAGTAATTTAAAGTTCAAAGTTTTACAACATTTATTAACTTGAAAATTTAAAAATTATTTAGTTATTAAAAATGTCTAAAACTGTTATAGCTAAGGATTGAAAATTCAAAACAAGGTTTCACATAAGTAGTTAATTCTGCAACAAAAAATCTAAAATCTAAACAAAGTTTATAGAAGTAAAACTTCTTTCTTGAAGTGTGAATGGAAAAAAAATCGAAATAAAAAATGAAACGGAACAATTGTTGTTATAGTGACGGTTGTTATACCACTGTTTTTATAGAAATCTACACACACACACACCTATATATATAATTTTATTATATAAATATATAATATTTATGTATATAATTTATAATTCACTTATAATTTCAAGGGCCCCAATACTTATGAAATAAATTTTACTTCCCCACAATATAACAGTGGACTCACACACTCTAATGTAAGTTTTTTTTAGTTATTTTGAGTTCAAATTTAAACAAATATACATATTAAATAACAAAGAATAACAATTTTGGTTATAATGTTGTAATTTAAAATTATTATTCATAGGTACTTGAAATTTAGAGTATACTTGTTAGCAGCAGTTCTCAAACTTTTTTCTCACATACCACTTGAGTATATTATCAGTTGGCGTATCACCATTTAGTCTTTTAGGTATCACTGTTTAACAACTGCTACTTAATAGTGTATTGTATTATATATTTGTAAATACTATGAAACAATGAATGAGTCGAGTACATAATGAATCCGATTTGATTAATTTGGAATTTATTTTATAGGCAACTGAATTTTTATTTTAAATACTTAAAATATAATTTAAATACAATAATACTGTAATATTATAATATATCCTAGACTGACAAACCATCTTTACTCAGAATCATTTTTCGTATATTATGATATTATATCATTAAATTTAAATTTATTACATTTCAGTAGCCCACTTGTAACCTACTAAACAGCAGAGAGACATCCACTTACACGCTTTTTGTTACTTTAACTTTATTATTCTATTTTTATAAAATTAATTGATAGCATATTTCAATATGAAAATTATAATCTGATAAAAGTAGGAATTAAGAGGATGTCAGCGCATTATTTGTTTTCTCTCTCTAGCTAACCTGCAACATAGACAAAACACATTCACGGAGATTTTTTATTAAGTAATATAAAATAAAATCAACCATTGCAAAAAAGATAAAAATAATATTTTTGAGGGATTATCATATTAATATCATATTTTATTGTTTTTTAATTTTATATTTCAAAATAAACAAAACAATGTTGTAAATTTAAATTGTTTTGGAATATTAAGACAAATCAATATTTTTCCTAAAAATTATTCTTTACCTTTTTTTAATGGGTGATTTTACCCTAAGATTTGTTAGAAACATAGGAAAAATGATTCTGCTTAAATATGTTTGAGTGTGGGCCAGAGAGAAAACAAATAGTGCGATGACACCCTGTTAAGAATTTAAGTTTTACTATGGATGCAAAATTTATTGATTTTAATTTTTAATATTACTAGACGTAAACTAGTATTTACTATTTTAACATTATTTTATTTTATCAAGCACAAACATCTCTGTTTGGACGAAACACTGGTGGTAAAATTCTAATGCCACAATGGTTCTGATATATTATGTCTGGCATCATTTTACCACCAATATTGTGTGTGGGGAACTATGGATCATAGGCACAAATAGTGTTAGCGATTTGGGTAGGCAAACACCWACTTTATTAATATTGAATAAGCTTAAAACAATGCTTAAGAGGATCTTAATGAATTTAGCTTTTTTCCTACCTTTARTTTCTGTTGGAGTTAATTTCAAACCAGGAATTGTCTAAGACGTTAGACCTGATTAGTGATTATTCTGGTTTAATTGATTTACCTAAAAAATCAAGCATTGATAATTATTTGGTTTGTACAATTAATAACACAATTTAAGTAATAAAATATTTTTATGAAGTATGACTTTTAGGATTAATGTCGATTTACGTGTTCAGACCCGGGAAGATAAATTATATGACTGATGAACGATGATTGATACATGAATTTAATATCAGTACGCTTACAGATTCCACAGTAAAAATATAAGTTAGGTTCCTACTCAGAGGAAAATATTGTGAAATAAATATGAAGTAAATAGTAAGGTATGTTTAGTCGATATTAATGACTAATTATAAGCCTACATAAATAAAAATATTTTCTCATAAAATTAAACATGTTTTAAATTCATCTATCAGATTGACAAACTATATCGGTTTTTATAAGATGATAGGATGATTTACAGTGTATGGGGGAGGAGGCTTTAAATGTCTATTTGTAAATATCGGAAACGAAAATATTATACTGTAATTTAGTAGTCGTGAGACAAAAAAACAAAAAAACTTTCAAACAATAACGTAAGTAAAATATAAAACATCAAACGACAATACTCACCGAAAGGTTATTAAAAAAGTACCATGTGGTACCTAGGTGTACTGTAATGCTATTAATGATTCAGTATTGAGTTCTGATGTATGAATCCAAATTCTAAATACAAATCACAAGCTGAATCAATAAAATAGAATGTCGCATTGAAGAATCGTAGTCTATAGTATTATATACTTATAAATTAAAATATTAAATACTGCGCTATTCAATATCCAAGTATAAGTACAAACACTATAAACCGTAAACTGCAAATGCTACTGAATGTCGATGTCGAATGAGGTTAGGTCTTGGGTTTGGGTTATACTGTTATAGAACACATATTATTATTGTTCTGTGGTCACTTCGTTAAGGGTTATGTATAATAAGGTAAGACTATAAAAATAATGAGCATGATAAAATTATATACGATATGTACGTCAGCAATATACAAGTCTTCAAATAAACACGCATTCACCCTCCGCCAGCCGAGTACTGTGATGGAAAACATTTAGCAGTTTTTCATTGGTCCACCACCGCCACAGTCGCATAACCGACGCCGGTGACTCGACCACTACTCCGCTGCTCGGTTACCCGGTTGGCGAAATGCTTACGTCACACCACGATTTTAAATAGTATGGTCACAGAATTCTGTTGTATGGTTGCCTACTTGCTTAACGAGCTATGAGAAAACGTCGTGGAATATCAATCCCAATGTTGGTACTAGCGCTTCTATTGGACTATTATTTTTACAGTCTGTACTATATAACTATAAAAAAAACACGGACTATCATGGAAATACAGGACTAGAAACGAATGAGTCGGCAGAGTGCTGGATTTACACTATTAAACGATTAGACCAAATTTTGGTTAGGTACATTTTAAATGTACAGCGCTTCCTCGCAGAATAGATACAATGGCTTCCTATTGTGACGCCGGTACGACGACGACAGCGACTACTGTGCCATCTATTGGCAAATGCTATAAGCCTATAAATAATTAAATGTGATATTTATTTTACAATAATATTCAACATTGCWACTGTATAGACGACTACAGACAATAATTCAATTTAGACTTGTTATATATATTTATATATTTTATATACATGGGTGTCATTACGGGGTAGCAATTGCTACACCACCATTTGTATAGGAGTAGCAATTTAATAGTTATGCTACCCTACGAACCAGTACCAAATATGAGTAATTTAGGAAAAAAAAATACAATTTTCTTGTTTTTTTTTTCATTACAAAATCAC